ATATATATGTTTGTGTGTGTATATATAGATATATATAGGTGTGTAGGTGTGTGTGTGTGTGTGTGTGTGTGTGTGTGTGTATTTTTTCTCCTTTTCCTTTGAGACAGTCCCTCACTGTGTATCTCAGGCTAGCCTCGAAGTCAGGATCCTCCTGTCTCAGGCCTCTGGAGTGCTGGAATTATTAGCGTGCACCTCCAGGTCCTGCCATTTTAATTATTTCCTAAAACTAATAAAGATGAAGATAAATCATCCCTACTGCCTCAAAGCAGAAAGGGACCCCACATCTCCTGTGGGTCATGAGCATAGCTTCCTTTCAACCCCCCTGACAGAACGTGGCTGTGGACCTGGGTTTCTTGGGATTGAGCCCTGGCTATGGGAGGGTATGGACCCGCAAAGTTTCGATCATTCAGTTATCCCCAGGTTGGTTTGGTCATGAAGCCTGGTGTTGAGTATCACTATTCCTTAAAGCTGGTATGGCTACTTAATGCCTGGGGCTGTCTGCTGACCTCTAGACAAAGGGTGAAGCCAGGCCAGAAGTACTAGTCACTCCCAGTCCTAGGACTCTGAATGCAGTCCTAGAGAATCAGAAACAATGTTTTTGATCTTTGAAATAGGACAGGCTAAGAGGTTGGGGAGAGGAAGGCACAGATGAGATCCCTTGGGGGTCCCTGCTGTGGGTGGGACTTCCTACTCAGGCTTTCCCAAGACAGATGTTAGAAACAGGACTCCAAAAGACAATCCAGGATCTTCTGTCTGTCACCTTATGCTGGGATGGGGAGTTAGGGACACCTCTTCTCATCCCCACCAAACAAGATGAACTCCCCAAACATCCTCTTTATACAAGCTTATCCCTAAACCAGCCTCTGAAGAGAGAAGAGATGTGGGGAATTTAAAAGAAAAGGAATCATTTCTGCTGCTTAAAAAAATGGAAGACACAGAAATGTCCATCTCCATCTCCGCAGGAGGAGCAGGACCAAAATTTTCTTAGCTGTGGTTGGTGTCCTGGGTGGGCAGGCTCTTTGAATTCTGAAGCCAGGATCAAATCCTGCCCCAGAGCTGCCTGGGCTCCCAAACTTTCCTCCCTGCCAAGCAGCTTCTATTTATCCATTTTAAAGAAGCTGGACAGGGATTGTTAAAGAGAAGCAGAAAAAGAAGAATGAACTTTAGAGAGATCTGCTAAGTTCCAAGTGCCACCCTTGAGCCCATGGAGGGAGTGCCCAAGAAAATACAAGTTACTACACTCAGAATGACCTCTCCATCCAGCTATGTTGCAAATATGCAGAGAATTAGGACCCAAGGGTTTGTCTATACTGTGTAACCCTCCAGCTTCCTGCCACTCATGGACACGACGCGTCCTGAGTATTCACTGCATGAAGAAGAAGTAGAAGAGGCAGCTCCTAGTTTTCAAGTGTTTACAGTCTAGAAGGTTGGCACCTCCGTAAAGCCGGTTAGGTGAAGTCCCCCAGGCAGCTTCCAAGGAAGGAGCTGACTGAGGGCTTTTTTTTTTTTTTCTTTCTCTGAAAAAAAAAAAAAAAAAAAGCATTCAAGTTCCAATTGTCCTTTTGGCAGTAAGGTGATTTGAAAAGATGAGAGTCTCTCTAGTTCATACATTGTGGGAATTTCTAGGAACAACTGGGCCAGCACAGGACTCCAGACCAGCATGCCTGAGTCTGAATCCTGATACTTTTATCCATTTGCTGTGTGAGCAGAGCAAGTTGCCTAAGAAATCTGTGCCTCAGTTTGCTTATCTATAAAATGGGGATAATAAAACTACCTTCCAGTAGGGGTAGTGACTGATGCCTGTAATCACAGCACTTAGAAGCTGAGACAGAAGAATTGCTCTGAGTTCGAGGTCAGCCTGGGCTACACAATGAGACCATGTCTCAAAAAAAAATGAGAGAGGAAGAAAAGAGAAAGAAAGAAGGAAGGAGGGAGGGTCCAGCAAGATGGCTCAGTGGGTATAAGCGCTTGCTGACAAGGCTGGTGGCCTGAGTTCAGTCGTTGGGACCCAGAAAGGAGAGATCCAACCCCAACAAGTTTTCTTCTGACTTCCACCCCTGTGATATGGCACTTGCACACATTCAGGCACATGTACAGATGTAATAAAAGACTTTGTAACGAAATGAAGGAGAGAGAGAGAGACAGAGACAGAGACAGAGACTCTATGGGATTGCTGCAAAGTTTAAAAAGATTTCTTAGATGTAAAGTGCTAACAACACCTGGGGGTGGTAAGTACTAAGAGTTATGACCAACAGACTAGCATACACTACACCAAATCTTAGTTTCTTATGTGAACTAACTGCCTCTGTGCTAAATTAATTCCCAGGAAAGAGCATCATTTGGCTGTGGGAGTTGCTTCAAGCCTTCTCCATGTACCAGCAGCCGGGACTTTATTTATTGCATTATGGTAGGGAAGAGGGTGAGGGGTGAGACAAACAGAGGTCCTTTACTCGCTTTTGGTGCCTTTGAAGAGGAAACATCCCTTGTTCTTCCCCCTCACAAATGCCAGCCACAGGCTCCAACATCTTCTGCAGGACCAAGATAGTAATCTTAAGGCTTCTCAAAAAAGAATCCCAGTCCTCCACCACAGCCCTCCCTGCCAACTCCTTCATGGAGATAGATCGGAGGGACTTAACACATAGCCTTTAAGGAGGGCAACCTTGGAGATTGATGCTAAATAGGGGACTGAAGAACCAGTTTCATTGACCTAGCTGTGTAATCTTACACTTCCCCTGTTTATGCCTTTCAGTTTGGTATTGCAATATATGTAGGATATTTATTTCATTTTAATTTCTTTTTCTTCATTTTAATTTCTTGGTGTGTGTATGTGTGTGTGTGTGTGTGTGTGTGTGTGTGTGTGAAGGTCAGAGGAAAACTTGGGGGAGTTGGTTTTCTCCCTCCCCCTGAACAATAAAGTTCAGTTGTCAGGCTTGGTGGAAAGTTCCTTTGCCTGCTGAGCCATCTCGCTGGCCCCCACTTTAATTTTGTTGTTGTTTGTGTCTCTTTTCTGTCCTTTCTTGTTTCTTTGATGCCTTTCTTCCTTCCCATCTTTCTCTTTATATAATGCTGAAGGTGGAACCCAGGGCCTCATACATGCTAGGAAAGTGCTCTACCACTGAGCCATACGCCCAGCCATAGGAGCACATTGATAAAGAAAAATCTAGGCTACTCTAAACATCTTGTTTTTTTCTCTGATCCTCTTCTTCCTCCCGCTTCTACTCTGTCTTCTAAAACAAGACCCAAACTTCAATAATCAATACTTTTAAAAGGACATCTAACAAAGAATACTCGTTCTATGGATCAGATGACAGTAGAAGCATTGTATTTCCCACAAGGCAGAGTTGGAAAGGAATGCAAAAATCTCTCCCTGCAAGCTTTTGGCCCAGTTTGGGCCCAGAGCCTGTTTTCCTCTGGTCTTTGACAGTCCAGATCGTCTCTCCATTTGATTTACTGGGTGCTGTCATTTCTCTGCTCTTTACTTTCACAATCACACATTCAAACCTGATAAAGTTCAAGCCCCTGAGTACTTGCAGCACCCCCAGAGTGACAGTCCTTCTGCCCTCCACCCTAACCAGCCAGCTGAGGCTGATTGAATCCTCATGGATAGATGCCTCTGAGGATCAGCAGAGAGCAAGTACTCCAAGAGGGTCAGGTCCAGGGGAGACAGGGGGTGGCAGGGGACAGGGAACACTAATGCTTAGGTCACCTCTGCTATTCTAGCAAACCTCAGTCTCTTCCTTCCCCTGGAGTGTCAACCTCCTCTTACTTAGTCCTTACCTTTGAGTAAGGAAGTAAAGGCACTGAACTTGCAATATGCAGAACTGTTACCAGGTGTGGTAGCGCACACCTTTAATCCCAGCACTCTGGAGGCAGAGGCAGGTAGATCTCTGTGAGTTCAAGACCACCCTGGTCTACATAGTGAGTTCCAGGACAGCTGGGGCTACAGGGAGACCCTTTCTCAAAAAAACCAAAACAAAACAAAAAATTAACTGTTAGATTTGGGTGCAGAATCATAGACAACTGGCCTGAGAGCTGGATTTTCTTGAATCTACTAAGCAGGCATGGGATCAAGGGTGAGACACTTAACCTCTTAGTGCCTCAGTTACTCCATCCATAAAATGGTAGAAATACTGCCTTCTACAAACATTCATCACAGGCTAATGACTAAGGTCCTACTTGCCACATGGCCTTCTTTGGGCTCCAGAGCGATCACATGCATATATCTGACCTAGCTCTTTGGTTTCTGTCAGGTTAAATACAAACTTAGACGTTAATCTAAATACTACACCAGTGAGTTAAACAAAAGGAATGATTCATCTCCAAAGGCCAAACAGTTAACTTAGACTCAAGTTTCCAGAGCATTGAAATGTCCTCCGATAGAAGATGCTGTCTAAATAATTTATTCTCTGCCTGTAAATGTAAGTGGACAAAACCAGAGACCATAGACTGAAACTGGTCATCAAGGATGGAAAACCTTTTATTCTCAATGTGGAAACTTTATGAGTTTTGTATTTACTAAGTAAGTAATTTGGTGCCTGAGTTAATATTTTTGTTTATCTTGAGTTAAAATTTTCTAGGGTGGGGGGAGTAGCTCAGTGGTAGGAAACATACTCAGCATGCTTGAGGCCCTTGATTTGATACCCAGCAACACACACACACACACACACACACACACACACACACACACAAATCTAATAAAGGTAAACATCTTAGGTAGCCAAAATTTAAAAAGATCTTAAAGGAAGGGGCTGGAGAGATGGCTCAGTGGTTAAGAGCAGTGGCTGCTTTTGAAAAGGACATGAGTTTGATTCCCAGCACCCACACGGTGACTAACAACCATCTGTAACTCCAGTTCTGGGAGATCTGATACCTTCTTCTAGTTTGCATGCACGGGTGTATTTATACACATGAAGG